AGCTGCTGGGGAATCGAATCTGTGGAGGAGGTTTTCTTCCCATGGATCGGCTGGTGGATTTAAACATGTGCCCTGGGTCTGCAGTACAATCCCTGATGGGCTAGGACACCAGAGCTCCCCAGAAACGAAAGGAAACTTGCAAATTCAAATTCATTACAATCTAGACAGAATCAACACACACCTGATCTTCTACTTAATTTTCAGGGCTGGGAACCCCAAGGAGAGAACATTCACCTTTCTGTCGGGAACTGTTGGTGGATTCGAACCTCCGCCTGTAAATTGGTGGTGCACCTCCCTATAAACTATGACTCCAGAGCTTCCAACCCCAGAAGAATGAGTCCAAAATATACATAGTCCTGTGCCCAATTCAAGAAGAAGAAAGAAACCCTTCGTTTAGGATGGGTGCCAGGGGATTCAGGCCATTAGGCTCCTAAATGGAGTTAAAACACGTTTTGCTTTGTTTACTACTAAGAATTGAGCTTTTCCTGTAAATGCATCACTATAAAAGAATGATAAACCATTTCGTATAAGCAGCAGAGATGTTAGCCCTCGATGCAAGCAGACAAGATGGAAGTGTGAACCTGCTCAGGTGTTCAGCTAAAGAAAGACCTGGCAATCCATTCCGGGGAGGATTCAATTCCTCCAAACACTGTGGATGCAGTTCCACTTTGTGTGATGCCTGGGGCCATGATAACCTGCAATCACAGCAATCAGCCTCAAGACCACCCTCATTTCTTTGTGAGTAGTCTCAGACAAGGAGGGAACGTGTCCATGTAGGGTAATGACCTCAGTTCTACAGAGGGTGAAGTCTCGTCCCAAAGAGAGGTGAGAAGGGATCCCAACGTTAGTAACAGATTTAGCCTGTAAAGCACTTTGCCCAAGATGCCTCCTGGGCCTGCAGTTCGAGGTGCCATGCCTTAGAGGGGGTGCGTAGACTTCTTTTACCGAGTGTGGGACAAGAACCCAGAATCAAGGGAGGGGGGAAATCTTGAGTGGGCACAAAAGAATGATGAACTTTTAACCAATAGGCAATAGGCTTTCTCCTGGCAGCGCGGGGAGGAGCCCCATGAACCGTTAGCAGCCTCCCCCCACCCCCACAGCTGCCACCGGATGTGACGACAGTAGACTTTTTTTTTTTTTTTACAAACGTAATACCGTTTATTTAACTTCAAAAACATTTCCGCATTCTAAAACATACAAAAAAATGAACAGAACATTGCAAACTGTGTTTAAGTACAGAAGGTTCTGGAACTTCCATGGATGCAGTGGCTCTTCATTTTGCTGACACTGAAGAGCTCTACACTTTGTTGACAAAGAAGGTTTAAAAACAACTGCACTTAACAAAACAAAAACAAACTCCCCCAAATCCAAATACTTTTTTCATGCCAGCCGAGCCCCCCCTCCTTTCCACAGCTAATGGTAGCAGATGCTATGTCACTATATACAAAAACCAGACAACCTGAAGCTACATGGATGCCCAGCGCAGTGTCAACAGGTCAGCTTCACAGTGCATGCCCTGAGCTCCAGCCCCCAATGGGCATCTTCCCCCCACCCCCAGCCTCAATGCCAAGCATGGACTACCAAGAGTTTCTCTCGGTTCTTTTGTCATTTTTACAAACTCTAGATATGTACAGCTGAAAACTCGGGATTCCTAGCCAACAACCATAGTTACCACCATCTTACAAATTAAACCAACGGGGAGGGGGATGTCAGAAACATCTTTAAATGCCTTGTCACACCAACAGCAAAGTGCACAGTGAGGAGAACACTACAGTGCCTTCCCATTGTAAAAATGCCTGGACATATGTACAGCTTTGAGACAGTTTCCGCGTGCTCTGGACACCCATGGCCACTTCATGGAAACCACTGACGACTTCTAGAGCACTTTGAAAAGACTACAAGATGATCATGATCCAATTTTGTAATTAAACCTAATGAGGGCAACAGACAGGTCTCCAAGAGATGCAGCAATCACGGCGGCCCCTACGCTAAGGTATTCACAAGGAGATAGAGAAACTGGGGTTTTATTCATCCTCCTCCTCCTCCTCCTCCTCCTCCTCCTCTTCCTCTTCTTCTTCCTCCTCCTCGTCCTCTTCGTCCTCCTCTTCGACCTTTTTCCGGGCTACTTTAGCAGGGCCCTTCGCGCCATCAAACTTCCCCTTGGACTTATAGTCAGCGACATCCTTCTCATACTTCTCCTTCAGTTTTGCTGCCTTGTTGATGTAAGGCTGCTTCTCGCCATCACTCAGGTTATTCCACATCTCACCCAGCTTCTTGGCCACATCACCAATAGAGATGCCAGGGTGTGTTGACTTGATCTTAGGACGAAATTCAGAACAGAACAAGAAGAATCCAGACGGAGGCCGTTTGGGGGCATTAGGGTCCTTCTTCTTCTTGCCTCCTTTCGCTGGCCCGTAGTCCTTCATTTCTCTGTCGTAACGTACCTTGTCGGCCTTGGCCATCTCATCGAACTTGGCCTTTTCTTTTCCAGACATAGTCTTCCATCTCTCGGAGCACTTCTTGGAGAATTCAGCAAAATTGACTGGAACCTCTGGGTTTTTCTTCTTATGTTCTTCTCTGCACGTCTGCACAAAGAAGGCATATGCAGACATCTTGCCCTTTGGTTTCTTAGGGTCACCTTTAGCCATCTTAACACGAAACACGAAAGGCTTCTTCTTCTTACGCTTTGGAGGCTTCAAGGGAAGGAGGTTCTGCTCTTCTGTCTCCAACTCCACCTCCACCTCCGCTCCAGAGAAAGTGTCTTCTTCCATGGAGCTGGAGCACGTGGTCTGAAGGTGAGACGTGCTTTCCTCATCAGAACCCTGCTGTAGGGTGCTTTCACTAGCCATCTCGACACACGGGGCTCCCTGCAGAGCGTCGAGGGCCCAGCAATGACTACGCAGCAGCTGCGGGCCGTGCGCGAGCCGCTTCCGAACAAGGGGCGCGCCGTCGGGTCTTTTATCCCCCAGAATATCCGAAGGGGGGAAGATGCTCGTAGCTTCCAGAATCTCTGGTCGCTCATCAGACAAGGACGCTTGACTCCAAGTCTACCCAACGCCCTGGTGAGGACCCTAAATGTAGACCTGGGGGACCACCCACTCTAAACAGTGTAGGCTTATCATGGGACCAGTCCCACCGACAGGCTCAGATCTACTTGATCTATGTTGACCTGTAAAGTCGGGGGTGGGGGCGGACCACGGGGTGAGGGTGGGTACAACTCAAGAAGGCGGAGGGTGCGGAGACCTTGACCCTTATTAGAGAGCGGCGGACGACCCTCAGAGCCAATGGGGAGTCCTCATTACCTAAGATGACCCCTCAATGCGATGCTCCGCTCTGAATGCATCCAGAAAGGTGTACCATAATACGCACCACCCTCACTTTCCTTCACCCCCGAGGATGTCTGGGCATAAGCCTTGAACCACCAATGCTTCATTCAGGGGGATCTAGTCAATAGAGGGGGAATGGGAAGTCTTAGTGGAGGGTCCTAGCCAGAAGGTGGGGTGAGGACTGGAAGGAACATACATGATACTAGGAACTGTGGGGGTATCAAAAACCTCTCCCATTACCACAATCTCCAAAACTCTCCCCAACTGTTTAGTGACATCAAAGAACTCCAGAAAACATGGCGCTGCAGCTTCCAACAGGGATATCGAAGGGGGTGTGGTCAGGTGCTGGAGGGGCGTGGCCTCAAGGCAGCAAATTGTAGGGTCTCAAAATAGCGCACAGTAAGGGGGGAAATGCTGGGGATGGTGGAGACCACTCAATGCAAAATGGGGAGGAGGGCTGGGGTGTGCCTACCTTTTCCATGGCCCTAGGATCATAGGACTGAAGGAAAAGGATGGGTAATCTGCTCCCTTGGAATTGACTGCATAGGAAAACCACTACAGGGTCATCTACAGGTTGAACCCAAATTGATGGTACACAACACAAAGTGTGGTAGCGTGAGCCATTGGGTCCTGAAAAAGATCTCCTCTGTTTCACAATCTCGAAGACATACCCTGACTGCTTTTTGATTGGAAACAATCTTCACAAAACACGTCTATTCTGACTCCAACAGGGAATTCTCAGGAGGTAGAGTCCTGTGTCGAAGGTTTTGGCCTCCAGTCTGCAAAATTGGAGGCCACACAACAGAGGAAGGAGACGTAGACCCTAACAAGAATCAAGGTTAGTAGAAGGGAGTGGAGAGCATTATTCTAAATGAACTTATTCAGTCCCATAAAGACAAATATGGTATAAGACCATTATTGTAGAAGGTATATGAGGATCCATGGGTTGGAGGGTGAAAGCAGAGGGGTGAGGATGAGCAGGGAGTAGGGTGGATGGGTAGCGGGTGGTTAATCATAGGGTTATACAATTTCATGGACAAAGAAAATGGGAAAGATCTGGTGTGAAACAAATGTATACGAACTTTTTAAGTAAACCAATATAAAATAAACATTTTATTTTCATTTTAAAAGAGAAAAGAGAGGAAAGCTTAGGACACAGATGCTGATGAGGTGATTCTTCCCTGAAAAAGGGGGACACATAAAAGCCCAGACATGACTCCAGATCTGTGGGAGTCAAAATTTGGATACAGAGCCAGGAGGGTGTACACTCTTTCAGAGCCTGTCAGGGAGATGACCAACCTGGTCAGAGGGGCAGAAAAGGTGAAGACTGGGGGGAGGACGGGTTACAGCTGAGACATCCATGTCAGCAGTGGGGATAGAACTGCTCATTCAGTGTTTCCTTGTGGGGCCTAAAAAGCTTGGAGGTGTCACTGTCACAAGAGCAGCAGGGAGGGTGTTCCAGGTCCTGAAAGAATAGGGCTCTGCACTACCCCAGCACAGTGGTTTACCTACTATCCACCCCTGCTAGTCACAAGAAGCCCCGGCAGAACTGGCGGTGTACAACTTTCCTCTTACTTCCTACACAGGGTCCCGAGCAGAAGCAGACCCTCTCTCTAATCTTCAATGGGTCTGCATCACCCATTCGTCTCCTATACTTGACTACCAGGGCTCATCATGCCTCGTGGTCACAAGAGTAAGAATCGTGCCCGTTGGAAGCGCCGCCAGACTCAAGGGGAAACCCAGGCCCCTGAAGAGGCGAAGGCCGCTGATGCAGAAGAGGAAACCCAATCTCCCTCATCTTCCCCTCTTTATAAGGCTTCTCCTCCTTGTGAGGATTCTCCACCTCCTGAGGATGCTCCACCTCCTGAGGATTCTCCACCTCCTGAGGATTCTCCACCTCCTGAGGATTCTCCACCTCCTGAGGCTTCTCCACCTCGTGAGGCTTCTCCACCTCGTGAGGCTTCTCCACCTCGTGAGGCTTCTCCACCTCGTGAGGCTTCTCCACCTCGTGAGCATCCTCCTCCTCGTGGGGCTTCTCAGCGTCTCCCTGGTCTTTCCACTGAGCTGAATTCTCAGAGAGTCCCACCCATCCCCAAAATTGATATGTGTGTCTACTGCACAGAGGATGATGAGGGTGACCTGGGCGAATATGGTGGGTGTGGGGGTGCTAGTTCCTCAGGGGGCGCCGCAGGGGGCCCCCAGAAAGATCCTCTCATCAAGAGGATGAGACTCCTGGTGCAGTTTCTGCTGCACAAGTATAAGATGAAAGAGCCATTGATCACCAAGGAAGAAATCTTGAAGATCATCAACAGGCAGTACCAGGAGCGCTTTCCTGAGGTCCTGCAGAGAGTCTCTGAGCACATGGAGCTGGTCTTCGGCCTTGAGCTCAAGGAAGTCGACCCCAGCGTTCCAACCTACCTCCTGGCCAATGTGCTGGAGATCAGCCGGGAAGATTATCTCTTTGATAGTAAGACGTTCCCCAAGTATGGGATGCTGCTGCCTATCCTGGGCATGATCTACATGAATGGAAACCAGGTCAGCGAGGAGCAGCTCTGGCAATTCCTCAATCGAGTTGGGGTCTCTGATGGGAAGAGGCACTTCCTCTTTGGAGACCCCAGGAAGCTCATCACCAAAGATATGGTGCAGGAAAAGTACCTGGAGTACCGCCAGGTACCCGGCAGCGATCCTCCAACTTTCCAGTTCCTGTGGGGTCCCAAGGCCTATACCGAAGCCAGCAAGGCCAAGGTCCTAGAGTTCATCCTCAAGATGCAGAGAATGGATCACAAGGCCTTCAAAATCCTGTTTGTGGAAACTTGAAGAGAGGAAGAAGAGAGAGCAGCAACCATGAAGTGGTCCGCGGGTAATTTTAATGCCAGGGCCAGGGCCCGATTCAGGGCAAAGTCCAGCAAGGCCTCCCGTTAAAAAATAGAGTAAAGGGCACATACACGCCTTCGTAGGTGTCCATTATATATGAGTTACAGGTAGATTTAGCACATTTTCTTAAGTTCTACCTTTATATTGAGGTTGTCTTTGTAACCAGAAATGGAATATACCATCATACACTTTTTTCTTTTGTGCAGATTTCAATGTTAACATGGTGTGTTTGGTTAAACAAATGGAAAAATCCTTGGATTCTTTTTGTGAAACGCAGGTAGCTAAGCTGGTAGAGGAACAGGGGCAAATCCTTGAACAAGTCAGAAAAATCAATAACCAAGATGTACAAACAGAGGAAGATGGGGAGAGAGTATACAACAAGTAGTTATTCTTAGTTTCCAAGATTCCTATTGGTTGAAAAAAATAAATTCTATGCCTGAATGTGTTTCTTTTTTCTCAATGTGTAGAAGTAAATAAATCATTGATTTAGATCTTTTCTTCACATGTTTATTCTTTTCCTAGACAGTAATGAACACCTGGTCTTTGCAAGCTTGCAGGTAATCATTGGGATCTTTAGCAAATTCTTTCTCAGCCTCTAGCCTACCTGTTAGCACACAATAGCTGCTCTGATCATGGAAGAGGCTGGGATGTACTCTGAGACCTCAGGTACTACTGAAAAGGGGTGAGGCCTTCAGGATTTCGTCTGGAGGAAATCAAACTTTGTGGTCGTGAATTTAAGTTTTAGCTAACAGAGTGGCAAAAGGGAGGTAGCTGGGATGGGATGGGGGCAACTCGGGAATTAGGAGTTTACATGGGATGGTGGGAGTTGTAAAGGGTTCAGAAGTTGGGGAGGTTCTAGATGTTGAGATGCAGTCTACATTGAATCCTATAGACTTTGATCTTCGGCAGTAAGTGCTTTAAGTCTTCCTTACTTTCTCGAAGCAATGTTGGGCCATCTGCATTTAGCAGGTTGTTAAGGAGCCTTTCTCCAATCCTGATGTTACAGTCTTCTTTTTTATTATGAACTGTTTTTTTAAATTATTCTTTGGTTATGAAACAATTCTTAAATATCAGAGATAATACCTATTTCTATTTCCTTTCCTGATCACTGTCCAGAGGACTGCCGGTGCCAAAGCCATAAATGACAAGTATTTGCCAATGTGCTACAACAGCCAAGTCCTTCATGTTTCCCCAAATGAGCACACCGAAAAAAATAAAAGTATTTCTCAAAATTATTTTTATGTAAATATTAGTATTTAAGTAGCAGAATAAAGAGATAATTTGCTTCCATAAAAATATATAGCCTTTTGAAAGATTATGGGACAACTTTACGAGGTCTCATAGGGTCGTGCTGTGGTGCTGGAGAAGAGTATTGAATGTACCATGGACTGCTAGGAAAACAGATTCATCCTGGAAAGGGTTAAACAGGGCGGCTCCTTGGAGGCAAGGACTCTGAGGCTCCGTCTAACATAATTTGGACATGTTGTAAGGAGAGACCAGGTCCTTGGAGAGGGACATCATGCTTGGGAGGGTGGAGTGCAGGCACAGGAGGGGAAGGCCCTCTATGAGGTGGACTGATTCATTGACTGGGGTAATTGGGATGGGAGTGTCAGAGACAGTGCGATTGGCACACGACAGAGCAGAGTTTAGGGCTCTTGTACATAGAGTTGCTATGAGTCACAAGCAACTCGACGGCACATAACAACAACATAAGGTCGTTATAAGTAGCAATTGACACAAAGGCAATAGCTACTGGTGTTTACACAAAGAAGTAAAAATTAAACATTTGGCTTGACATTGAAATTGTAATGAAATTGTATTATTTCTTAAAAAGACAGGCAGGGGGGAGCTCTGGTGGCCTAGTGGCAAGAAGTTGTACTGCAATCCCAAAGGTACACTGTTCAAATCCACCAGATGCTCTGCCGGAGAAGGAGGGACAATCTCCTCCTGTACCTGTCAGATCTGATTTGACTGTACATGCACAAAAAATAACAAAAGTTTAAAAAAAAAAAGACAGGCAGGAAAGAAATAATAAAAATTACCAGTAAAAAAAAAAAAGCACAAGTATACATTTTTCTAGTATTTGCTCCTTTCAGTTAATATTCACCTGGCATCAGCAAGCATATCCGCTTTTTCATGATCTCTTCTAAATCTACCTAGAATTTCTGGCAGTGTCCTATCGCTGTACAGTTCCAGCTATTTTTCTAATAATCCTCAACAATCTTTTATTCACATGCTATATTAACAATGAGTTTCCACATTCTAACTGATTATCTTTCTGATAACGGGGAAAAACATGGATGGTTTAGGATTATCATATTATGTTAAAGACCCTGTTTTACTATGGTTATTGATGTTAAATGTCATGAAGTCACCTACATCTCATAGCCACCCTAACAAAATGGCTGTAAACACTTTTTTCCTGTGACATCATTAGCACCCCAGCTTTGCTAGAGCCCATTGTTACAGCCATTTAGTCAATCCCTCCACTTGTAGGTTTTCCACTACTTCACCAAAGTTCCACTTTTATGAGCATTTTTCCTTTGCCAAGGACCATCTCCTCCTAACAACAAATCTGAAGGCAATCTCCTTTAAATATAAAAGGGCAGATTGAACAGCCAACCAAGCAACAAGGTGACGAAGCATATCACATGGCAAACAGAAGCTGGGGCATCATTGCCCTCAAGTTCGAACCAACCAATAGCTAGAGGCTAGAAATGGCTAAAGGGGGCAGTGTCCCCTTTTCTGCAAAGAGCAGCAGGTGAATTCCAACTGCAAGCCTTTGAGTTGGCAGAGCAACCCCTTACACAGAGGTTGCCAGAGTTCCCTTTAGATCTCCTAGGAATCAACATGGGAAACTCTTGGAAAACCATGATTGGTGGAACCCCAGAGCATGCAGCCCTCAGTCACCTTTGTACCTTGGAAATAAACTTATACCAGTGGTTCAATGTTTATCCAAACAGCAGGCATATAAGGGGAGCAGTAACACCAGAGAGATACTGACTCCTTAGAACAATCAAACATGCAAGGGCATCATTTGCTCAGGAATAAAGCTCAAAAGCCAGGAAGGGGTAGCATAGAAGGATCTATGGCTCGATGGGGATGAGAATCACAGGGAAGAATAGGGAAAAGTGTCCTTTCTACATGAGTATTATAATCAGTGTCACAAAACCAAAGGTGCAGGAGTGGTTGTATCAAAAATGAATGTGCTCAGATGAAAATTCAAAAAGGGAAATTGCTTAGGTTGCTTTTAAAAATTATACACAAGTAGCCAAATGTGCTTATTTGTCCCACAGGGAGCTTCCAAATGAAAGCAGTGGAGTGTCAATTCCTAGATGTTGGCCTTCACTGCAAGGTGATTTTAAGTAAAAACTTTTTAATTGGGCTTCTTGGGGCTCTGGTAGCAGAGCATAGCGGATCAAGAATTCAGCTACTAACCAAAAGTTTGGTTGTTGAATGACAAGATCGTGCGTTTTTGTTAAAAAATTATACCCTTATAAAGACCTACTACTCTATCTTACAGGGGTGCTTTGAGTCAGAATTGACTTAATGGCACTGGGTGTCTTTTAGGCGGGATTTAGGTGGGGCTGTGGAAGTGGTGGACAAAGGTCAGGCCCCTGAGTTGTGTGTCTTAATTATTGAGTGCAACTTTAACAGAAATACCAGAAGTACTTGCTTTTTACAAACAAAAATTGATTTTCTGACCACTTAGGAGACTAGAAATCCATATGGAGGATATCAGCTCTACAGAAAGGCTTTCCCTCTGAGGGCTCCTAGGGATTCTCTGTGTGTACTTCTCTGTCAGGCCGTCTGTGGAATTCCTGGGTTTGTAGTTTATGTAGCTTTGGTCTTCTACAAATAATGTCACTATGGCTCTCTTAGATGTCAAAAGTCACTGGCTTCAAATATATCCCCCCCCCACACACACACACAGGGACTTATTAGCAGAGTAATGAACACCTTACTCCCATATGGGATTATTTCAATAGGTAGATCTAGGGCTTGCAACGCTTTATTATTAAACGTGTTTATGGACAACTTTGGATTAGGAGAACAGATTCTTCCAATTTCACTCATTCTCCAAATTGTAAAGCTCTATAAATAATCTCCCCCTCATCCTCCACATCCTCAACCCTCTGCATCCACCCAGCCCCTTAGATCCTTATACTTATTATATAATAATGGTTTTATACAATATTTTTAGTTGTGGGATTGAATTAGTTCACTGAGAATAATGTGCTCTAGTCCCTCTTAAATGAGGTAGTAATTTACAAAATCATTACTCCTGCATGCTGTATAGTATTCCATTGTGTAAGAGTACCTTAATTTCTCAATCCATTTGTTTGTTAGCACGTTGCCTCAAATGACGGCAAATGTGTTTCTAAGCATGGTCATCAATTGAAAAGTGTGCGGCAACTTGTTTACACAGTGTTTAGTACTGGGCTAAAAAAAGCAATGGAAACTGGCAGTTACTCTAGGCACTTCCTTTCTGGAAAACCCTTGGAAGCTCCTTAACAAAGCTTTGATACAGGAAAAGTATCTGGAGTACCGCCAGGTGCCAGGCAGCAATTCTCCAAATTTCCAGGTCCTGTGGGGTCCCAAGGCTCATACCGAAGCCAGCACGGCCAAGTACTTCACTGAACGTCCACTTTTCTGAGCATTATGCCTTTTCCAAGGTCTAGCACCTCCTAACACCGTATCTCAAGTCAATTTCTTTAAATAGCAAAGAACAGATTGAACAACCAACCAACCAACCAGGGGAGAAAGAACAGCTCAGGGAAAACAATCTGGGGCCTCATTGCCCTCAAGTTGGAACTGATCTGCTATATAGGTTAGAAATGGCTTGGGAGCCAACTGATCAACTCCCCCCATCCTCACAGCGGCTGGTGAATTCCCACTGTGGGTCTTTGGGTTGGTAGAGCAACACCCTACACATAGATGTC